CTCCCTAGACTCAGGGACCCAAACAAACAAGAAGAGACTAAAACCCACCACAAAAGAAGATATCCTAAAGGAAATCAGACAACAACCGAAAATCTCCCTCTACTCATTGAATGTGAACGACCTTGCATCTATCCTGGACAACCCAGTCAAATGGAGAAATCTAACTGAATTCATGGGCTGGTTAAGCCACAACCCCCCCGACATAGCTTGTTTACAAGAAACTCATCTCACAAGTAGCGAAGAGCACAACAAAATTAGAACAACACTAATTAAGAAACTAAAATTTGTCAAGGCCGCATTTTGGTCTAATGCCACACCCAATGGCTCAGCTGGCATGGTCATCCTCCTTCATGATAACTCAACAACAAACAACTTAATAAAAGCACAAAATACTTGGCAAGATGACACCACTGGCAGATGGGTAAGATTAGACATCAACTACAAAGAAGAGGATCTGTCAATTTTCAGAGTCTACGGTCCAATCGCACAACAAGAAAAGACACCCTTCCTCCATACATTAGAACAATAAATACCCCCACACAAACACGGGATCCTCATGGGAGATTGGAACTCAGGTCAAAACCTCTCCTTGGAACGAATTTCAAACTCCACCAACCCTGCACACCAATCCAACAATCTCGAACTAACAAATTTCATGTCTAGGAAAAACTTAGTAGATCTCTTCCGCCTCCTACATCCCGATAGTAAAAGATTCTCATGCGTCAGAAAAACCACCCTAAGCAGGACCTCATTCTCAAGAATAAACTTCTTCCTCATTACGAATTCCTTAATAGGTGCCCTACAAAAAAACAAGATTGGAAGCCCCCCATATCATAGCGGCCTAGACACAAACCCATTACATTGTCTCTCAGATTCTAAAAAACCGGCTACCTAGGTAAAAGTTTCTACCGTTTCAATAATGCCCTTTTAACCAACCAAGAATTCCAAAAAGGCTTAACCGAGATCCTATCACAAATCACACGACAACACGCTGAGGACATCTACACCGGATTCCCAAAAATCATCAAGGAAATAAGTACGAGAGTAGCACAGACATCAAGGAAACTGACTGCTAAAAGAAAAGAAAGAGAAGAGATGCTAAAGAACGCCATAGAAATAGTAGAATTCAATCTTCATCAAAACAACGACTCCCAATTTTTGCTGAACTTTATAGTAAATTCAAAGAAGAACTAACCGAATGGACTAAACTTAAACTCAAAGGCTTACAACTAAGAGCAAGAGTTAAGGACTGAGCCAAGCACTGACGAGGGCAATGCAAACTTTTCAATTGGCTTCGGAAATGAAAGTCAACTGTTCAAAAACGGTCGGCTGGTGGCTTACAGATTCCCCCCCCCCCCCAAAAAATATCCCCGGAAGGACTACAATGGCCAGACCCTACATCTCCCATCCGCTTCTTAGGAATGAACATCAGCTCAAAAGGCTGCCACACAATATCAACCCATTCCTTGATGACCTCAATGACCAACAAAATGCACAATTGGCAGGGAACATACACCTCCCTACTCGGACGTACCTGGGCATTAAACAACTCAATCCTGGCAATGATGTGGTATGCCACTTCGATCTGGTTCCCCTCAATGGATTTTCAACAACACATCCGCCACAGAGCGGCAGCACAGGAGCCCCTGATAAACAACACTTCATCCATAAAGTAGCATGGCAGATAGTCACGCAACCCAAAGGAAAAGGGGGACTATGAGTCATAGACCCAGCACGACAGATCCAAGCACTCCAAATAAAATGGATCATCAGACTAACACTACAACACAACCTCCAATGGATACCGTTGGCCCTCAATCACATTAGGGAGCTGGCACCCTTCCACTCCCCTCTGAACATGGCAGGCCTCTTCTGGATCTACAACCCAAACTGGCCCCTCCCCAAAGAAAACAGAAACAGAAACTACCGACAAGACACAGAAGAAGAAGGGAACCAAGACAACAAAAAATCCTTTTGGGAACAACTCATATACCAATGGAGGAAGATCTTTCCAAATAACAAAGTGGGCCCCAAAAGAAAGGATGAAGTCCTCAGACAACCGATTTTCAACAACCCATGGATTCTAGACCACAACGGGCACAACTTCCAACTCACCAAAGCTAACACCAGATGGGGAAATTGGTTAGAAAAAGGCGTTTGGCAGATCCAGCACTTATGGAACGAAGACACAAAGTCCTGGAAAACAGAGAAGGAACTAAGGAAAACTCTGAAGGGCAGCCACAATCTACAAATCAGCATATCGACTATCATCGAAAGTATACCAATGGATTGGAGACTCCTACTAAACTCCTCCCAGAAATGGCTCTGGGGTGACTGGGCAGTGCAGAAGGGACAAACAGTAATCCAAGAGGTCCTCAAAATATTCAGCTATGAACAACACAACAAAGATTGGATTTTGTGCTCCATTTTTACACTGGAGGAACCAGGCAACCCGTCGAGTTTCCTCACCAGGGAAATCAGAGCAGAAGGATCATTTAAAGCTAAGAACCTCCAAAGAATCAGAGTAATTGAAGGGGACAGAAACAGAGTGTACAAGCCTGGAACAGAAATACGCCACCTGGAAATGGACCCAGCTGAATGGTCCTGGAGCACATCAACCCCCCAATCCCTTGTCGAACGCCATCACACGCTAACCGACTACACCCCTAATCTCGGTTACAGGCTTTTCTCAAAACCAACCTCGGTATCAAGTATACTCCAGAAAAGATGGGCTAAAGAAGAAACTACTCTTCCAAACCTTACCATTGAACCAAACTGGCACTCGATCTTCTGCACAAGACCAACCAAACTTGCAAGCCTACTATGGCTAATAACCTTCAGAGCAGTCCCGGTCAACTTATGGCTATCACAAAGAAGAAGAAGAAAGGAAGAGAGAACAGAAAACTCAGCATGGTGCCGAGTATGCAATTCACAAATCGATGAATCCCTCAACAATTGTTTCATAGACTGCGTAAAGGCCAAACAGGACATAATAATAACTTGGAACAAACATTCCAAAAGTACAATTGCAATTAACCCCGCTACACTATTCCTAGACAAAGAACAACCCCCCCCTCTTAAAAGCTTTGAACTCTTCCTCTTTGCTCTAATTAGGAAAGGTACTCTCTGGGCAATTTGGAAAAAGAGATGTGCAGCTAACTTCAATAACACCAGCGACAACTCAGAAAACCCCCTCATCACCATCAATCAAGTAATCGAAACAGAGATACAGGCCATCTGGAGCAAAACAAAAAACAACTTCAGGAAACACCAGATAGAAAAAGGGAAATAATCAAGAAATTCAAGTCCTCAAGGCTAGGGAATGGAAAGCTCGGCACAATCATGGGAGATAGGCTAGTTCTCAAGGACTGGCTAGTCATACCAGCACAAGGCAATCAGGTACAGCCTGCCTCCCAAATGATAACTGCAATTCCAGTGCCGGTCGAATCCAATACATTGCCAGACGACGGACCAGACCGGAGAATCTGAGCCCAAAAGGAATTTAAAAAGGGAAAAGAAAGCTCAACACAACAAATAACGACAAACCCACTCCCAAAAATTGGTTATGCATAGCATTAATACTAAACCACTCATCATCCCCTACACCCCAACTTACACAGCCTCTTACCAACCTCATAAGGACCAGCTACCCCCTTTACTACATCCCCCTCACCAACGAACCCTCCACACACCTCCCACCAATACCCCCCACCACCGCACCCTGCACACACTACCCACACACTGACCATCTACAGCGTAGGAGCCAAGCAAAGCCTACAGAGCATCAGTTATTAGTTCGGCACCAGCGACTATACAGAACTTTAGCCCATGAGCGGAATTTAGAACAAAAATACAGGGCCTATGTCTACGGCTATTACGGACCACGGTCTACAGGATTTAACTTCTAGCGAAGCTCACAGCTAAGAATTGCTCTAGTCGTCCCCAGCGATCCACGCAAAACCGACAGCTAAGCAACTGAGAGGGACAGGCTAGAGACAGCCCTGTAGCCAGTCAACAAGTGGAGCATAGCAGGATAGTATAACAAGGAGGTACCACAATGTTAGAGTACTTCAATCAGGCTACCGTAGGCAGGGGGGAGAGACGGTACATCCTTCACTCGGGATGTAATTCATCGGTCCTTCAAGCCATAAGACTGCCAGTGACAGGCTGCAGACAAGGAGACATCTAGCGAGGGTTTAGGGTTTTAGCACCAATTACAGAATAAGAGCAGAACCTCAGTAATACAGGCTAACTTAGGCAGGGGTGAAGGGAGGTACGTCCTTCCGTCGGGAAGTAATCAATGCCATCCTTCGGGCCTCCACACCATGAGGGGGAGGAGTGTGTGTGTACACATATTGTAATTCTTTCTGACTTGCCGGTGGAATAGGAACCGGACTGATGCTCCCCAGAATGGAAAAGGAGCCGGAACCATAAGGTTCTGTTTAAAAAAAAAAAAAAAAAAAAAAAAAGGAAACGTCACACCATATGTGTGAAGTTGAAGACAGGGTTGCGGTTTTCGAGCAGAAAGAGTACAACCAAGTAATGATAACCGCATGCGAAAAATAACACTGCCTTTGGCCTTAACTTATCACAAGTAATGGAAATCGAACACCATGTCTTTATGTCACGAGAGAGAGAGAGAGAGAGAGAGAGAGAGAGAGAGAGAGAGAGAGAGAGAGAGAGAGAGAGAGAGAGAGATGCTGCATATGGAAAGAAAAAAAAACGGAAAAACAAAAAAAAAAACACTTCGAGTGCATCTGCGTGCATGCAAGATAGCACGACAAAGACGTGCTCTGTAGAAACACTACTTCGCAAGTTGGAAAACTACGCTTACTTTTACAGGTAGGATGGACAACGTACTTCAAAAAAAGAACTTCACTACGGACACTACGAACCTGCAATCCTACATGCCATAAAAAAAAAAAGCAGAAAAACGACACTTCGAACCAAACAGACAGAGATCCCCCATATAACCGATAAATACTAGCCCATTAAACTGCAGTCGGTTTAGTCTTCGTGTTTCCTTTGCAGTTCAATGGTGCGGTGTAGACGGGATGCCAATGAACTAAGTGCTTTGATGTGGTGAGGTAAAGACCTCATCCATCCGCATCGTCCTCAGGAGATCTTGCCCTACTCCTTGACAAGCTGCGAATGGCATCGGCAAGAACCAAATACCCCTTCTCCAATCTTTCGCCCAAGTTCTCTGCATTCCCCGAACGGGCTGCGATGTCCTTACGCATGACTTCACATGCCATCGTCGCCGCTCTCTCTTGTATGGTAAGCTGCTCGCGCAATATCTGGTGATGGGTGATGTTGGATCTCGTCTGCGCGGGCGTATGATCTCGCATAGCCCCTGTCACGACACGCATAGCCATCTCACATGCATTCTGCTGAACCCTCCTCCGTTTGCCCAACGTTTCAGTGACGGTGGCTGACGTTCTTGACCCACCGGCTGCTGATGTGGCTGCACCAGACTCCTCAGGAACGGGAGAACCCCCCCCTCCGACCGATCCACCCCCGTAAGACCCCCTCGCTCCACCCGATCCATCCGTGCCTCCCTCGCCACCCGTGCCTCCCTCTCCATCCCCTCCACCCGATCCTGCATCACCCGCTTCGTCGTCTGCCGCAGGATCGTCACCCTCGTCCACATCACTGTCCTCTGAGTTGGCCCTGTTGTGGTCTTCAGCTCCTGGATCAGTCAAACTATCGGGGTTGATGGTGTCCTTGTCCCCTTCGTGCACATGTAAAATATCATACCACTCCCGTCTCATGAGGAAGTCCAAGCCGTTCTCTTTGCGTGTCGCCTGATCCATCGTCCAGTACTTCTGGTTGCCAGACCACCGATTGTGATCTTTGACAAGCCTGTAGTTGTTGCGCATGAAGTGGTAGCGTTTCTTGCACTCATCGTCTTCTCGAACTTAGTGTGCCTGTTTCATTCTCCCACTCACATCTGCCCACAACCGCACCTTCAAAGGAGCGATTCCCATGGCTTCGGAGTTCTCCCCCATACCTGTTTTCACCTCGTACACATTCCGGAGAAGCACTGTCGTCTCCTTCTCCCCCCATCTATTGGAGGCCTTCTTTTTACCCTTATCAGCCAGCGGTCCAGATTGTGCACCCTCCTGCGGGACCGCTTTCTCCACGGATGGGGCAGCTGCTGCAGGCGTCGCATTTGACATGTTCGATCGTAAACCTTTGCAGGCTGTGCTTGTCTCAGCTTCGTTGGCACAGCCGTGCAGTCCGCCTGCAAGTCCTCGCCCTTCACACCTCTCACGGATGGGCGTTTGCGTCCATGCGCCATTCAACTGCTGCTGTAGACTTCGAGGACGAGTGTCACCTGTGGGATCCACATCTCCAAACTCTATGTCATGGCTCTCTCTCTCTCTCTCTCTCTCTCTCTCTCTCTCTCTCTCTCTCTCTCTCTCTCTCTCTCTCTCT